GCTAGTTAGGCACCAAGGGCTGCGAGGAAAGCTTGCCACCCACTCCCCGCGGTGTCCGAATGTCTCTGTGTGTGTCTGGATCAAGGGAGCTAGTAGCAAATCTGCCTGGCTTGGACCAGTCTGTGATTTCCCTCCTGGTGAGGAGGAGGCATCTACTCCCCTGCTTACAGTGACGTAACGAAGGACCTTGCACATTCATCAAGACTCGTTGGGTCTTTTACCCCTTATAGAATATGCAGTGCTGAAGCGACTCCAGAAAAAGGCACTGCAAAACTAACTAAACACCTGTTTCTAATAAACTCAATAGTGGCGCTGAAACTGTTTCTTCCCCTTGCTGTTAAATTTGCATGTTGTTATGGGGTAAATGCCCATCTCTGTAAAGCCACTTTATGTGTTTTGTGTAGTATTTTAGTTTTTTTCTAGCAACGTATCATTTTCATAGCACAATTAGTTTTTAGATGCGGGACACCAGTGTCTGTGCAGTGTAAGATGGGGGCAGGGGGGCAGAATAGAATTTAAAGTTTTGTAGTTGTTTGATAGTTTAAAAGGAGCTGTTTAGTGGCAGATTTTATTAACTGCACGAACTGAAATCTGGAATTACTCTTCTGAAAACACTGCTATTATAGTCCCCTGCAAATTAGCAGCACTGGTCTTGTTCAGTTTTGTTAGTGATCTGTAACTGTTTGCAGAAGTTTGAAATATGTTGGCACAGTTGTGTTTTAATATAGAAGTAATTTTCTAGTTAAGCTATCAAAGAATTATGCTAAACAAGGAGTTGTCATATTAACTGTGTTTATGAGAACATTTTCTTTTAATTTGCTGCTGTATTTTGCTGCTGCAGAGTAAAGGAATTTGGAATTAGTCCTTCGGACATTCCCTTCTCACAGGGTAGTGGCAGTCGCTCTGATCTCTCTCCTTCCTATGAGTATGACGACTTTTCTCCTTCAATCACCAGGTCTACTTCATTCTATACATGGAATCTTTATTTTTAAGTTTTCTTTTTGGCAATGTAATTTTACAGACCAACCTTTCATTAGTCCCCTTGCCTTGAGTCACACATACTTTGTTTTTATTTTGTTTGGCAGGTGATGGTTCTGCATGATCTGCAATCATCTTCCCAGTATTTTGTTCACCCTCCTTAAACATCCACACTCTGTAGCCAGGCTTGCTAGTTTCCTTCATACGTTTTTTAAAAAATGGTGATGTGGGCTTTGTACATTTAGTGCACCAAATCTGACAAGTCTGTGCTTAGGGTAATTTCAATATCTCTAGTTAAAAAAGAAAACAATTTTCACACATATATGTATTTAAAGCTTTTCATCACTCTGGAGGTGAATGAAAAACAGTTTCCATTGTAATAAATAAGTGCTACTTGAAAAAATGTTTTTTGCTTTAAAAAAATGAAGAATACATTTTAAAACTTGCTATACTTGCAGACTTTGATGTGTCCGTTTCATAAACTTGCTTTTAAAAAAAGCTTTCTTTTGACAGAATCATGATCAATCTTTTAAACCATATTCATGCTGCAAGAGGCTAATATTTTAATAAGATATTTTCACCTTTGAAATTATTTTAATTAAAACATCTATACAGTCTCTGAGGTACATGGTTGCAAATTATTATTTTCTTCAGAATTCTTGGTGGATTTGTTTTTAACAGCTGGTGAGGTACCGATTGACTGTCTTTTTTAAAACACAATTGCATGCACAGAAAAAGAAAGATGGGTCAGGTTTAGGGTGACAAATGAACTTTTCTTTAAAATATTACTCATTGTTAAGGACTTAATATTGAAGGTTTGGAGATTTTTGCTTTCTTAACTCTTAATGAATAGTAATATTTCAATCAGAAAATGTCTCTTGCTAGAAGATGGACTGTAATCCACCTGCAAGTAGTTGAAATTCAATGGTCCACGGAGTTGGACTAACATCTTTTTGTCGCTGAAAGTGCATTAAATTTGTGAAGCTGACATCATCATTCTCCTTATTAAATGGATTAATTGCGCATAAACCCATAGAGCTTTTTTTTTTTTTTTGGTTGTGACTCTTTTGCACAGGAAGTTACTAATTTACAAACACAACATTTTCTGCTTGTAGGGTGAAGGAGCTGACGGTCGATCCTAGTGCCGCAGGAGATAACCGCCCCATTATACACCACGCTCCCAATCAGATCGACGACCTGGAGACACAGTGGGGTGTGGGGAGCTCTCCTCAGAGAGATGATCTCAAATTGCTTTGTGAACAAAACGTGAGTGGTTTACAGCATTACATGGAAAGAGGTGATGATAAATACAGTGGCAGAACAAATCCAGAGCAATGTGTATTTATAGCCTGTTAGCAAGATCATTAAGTAAATACATTGTGCCTCTTCACCTTTTCACACAGCATTACGTTCATTCCCATACGAAAAAAACCCAAAGCCAAAACGTTTCTTGAAGGGTGAGAGGATAATGTTTTACTTTTCTTTATTTTCCTTGCTGATTAGGGCTTTTAATGTCTAGGCAGGGTCTGTTCTAGGCTCTGGCATTCTTTAGTGTGCATCTTTTCGAGTATAGCTTCATTTTTTTTCAGGCAGTTAGAAGTGTCCTGGGACACTCATCTGTTTTATTTAACACGCGTGTGGTTTTGAGCATTATTTTCCCAGCACGCACCAATCATTTCAAGTGAGTTGGCCTTTCTCTGTGTTTAGGAATCTGGCTGCCCATCGTTCCTCTTCCTGACATGCTGGGGTGACATCCTGGGTTTCATGGGGTGAAACCCCAGTGCACTGGTTTGTGAGAGAGCCACATCATGTTCCCAGCATGTCTCCCTTGGCTGCTGGAGCGGGGAGCTGAGAGGCATCTTCCCCTCATTGCTGATTATCAGGTCTAGTCCTGGTTCCTTAGATGTTCAACAGGGATTACAACTCGATTTGTGAAAATGCTGGTGAAAGGTAGAAAAGAAAAATCCTTACTATCCTAACTTATTTTCGCAAGGCTCTCTGCCTTCTCAGACACCTCTTCATGGTGTCTGCTGTATTTCTCACTTTTGCAACAAGCTCTTCTTCCCGAACTATATTTTATAAGAACATGCTAGTGATTCCTAGAGCGTCCCACTGGACAGTCCTTCCAGGCAGATAACATTTCATATCATACCTTTTCATTGTTCATGTGGAATTAAATTAAGCTTTACAATATGTTTTAAAAAAGATTTCAAAAGCATCGTATAAAGAACTAAACTGTCTTGCTGAAACATTAGTTACAGCCTACCTAGCGTTTTCCCCTTGATTGTTAACTAGTCATTTCTAAACAAGCTCTGTTTGCCCTAGTTTGTAAATTCATGTTGTGCGTTCTTCTAATGTGCTAATTGCTATGTACATTTTAGATTTTTCGCTTTACATTTATTCTACTTTTTTTTCTAAAGGATTGTTTTAAAATGTATTGAATGTAATTGCTCTTCTCTTTTTTTGAAAATTGTTGTCTGTGTGTTGCGGCATGCACAACAAAAAGCCCTGACAGAAAAACAGAGTTTTCTGTAGGCATTAAAACATACGAGAAATTAGCATTCTTCCTTTGTGACTTCCTCTTCCCACTATTTTACCTTGGTTTTTTAATATGGACTATTCTGTTTTCCAGTATTCACTAGGATTAGTGGCTGGAAATTTTTAGTGAATATGAATTAAATTTAACACTGTGAATATTTTGAATTTATTGCCCTCTCTGCTCATTTCTGGAGATTTTCTTGTTAGGAGTATTAAATTCTAGTTTTGACAGGTTCTGCCTTCTGCATATTTCTTTTTGTGTTCTGCGATGAAATGGATCACATTCAATATATTTCCCGTAGCCACCATTCTTTCTAGACTAACAAGCTTAACTGTTGTTTTTAGGAAGAGGAAGTTTCTCCACAGTTGTTTACTTTCCATGAAGCTGTGTCACAGATGGTAGAAATGGAAGAGCAAGTAGTAGAAGACCACAGGGCTGTCTTCCAGGTAAAAGATGGAGCTCTGCTTTGTTTTATCCTAATCCAGGAATTCAGGTTTTCCCAATGGAAGTGCATACTCTTGAAGATGCGGGATATCATCTGGTCATTCTGCTGCTGTCAGAGATTTCTAAATTGTTCTATTATGCTAAGACCATTGTAGCAAACAAATAGGGACAGATCCCATAACTGCTAATCTTTGTCTCCATAGTGAGGGAGAAGCATATTTCTATATCAGCCCAGAAATGTAGTAAAATTTTCCTTTTCTTCTCGACAAAGTCTGTGTTCATTGTAAGAAAAGCTGCTGTTTTCTTTTTGCTGGTTTTACTATTTGCTATATTTTCTGTTGTAGTCCTTTTCCAGCATTAGTGACTGTGGTTTTTTTGTTCTTTTTTCTAGTTGTGGGGAGTTTATTCAGATTGGTCTTGAAATTTTCAATTTCGCTGTCTAATCTATGCCAATATTCCTGTGCCAGAGCTGGCAATTGATAGTAATGTCTCTATCAGCACCATTTCTGTTTGGTCATCTCCCTCTAAGATACTACAATACTCCCTCCAAGTATCTCATCTGAGTATCCTTTTGTGACATCTCCTACTGAGATGCGCAGGAGACACATGTATTTGTCACTGCCCGTTTGCTTCCCTCTTACAGATACATAACGTTTCCACTTGCTATTAGGTCAGTGTTTTTGGAAGGAATACTGCCCATGCACTGTAATGCTGGTCAGCGCCATGGAGCCTTTTACGTTCGCAAAATAAATTGTAGTAATAGGAATGAGTTAACTGGCTTTCAGAAGGAAATGCGAGTTGCTTCTGTTCACGACCTTAGCGTCTCTCGGCAGGCTGTCCGTTTGGCACATCTGCTGCAAGAGAACGGCAGAGCATTAGACCTGTAGGGAGCACACACATCGACTCAGTTTAGGCATCTAACTCAGTGGAACATTGGTGTGTGTTTATAATACAGTAGGATGCTAAACAGCACGTTTTACAACAGATGTAGAGATTTAGATATTGTGAAACATTAGCCCTGAAGTAAAACACACGCAAGTGTGGAAGTCGTATGCCATATGCTGTAGCTAATGCTTGCGACTTCTGGAGAGACAAGCTGCATTAGTCTGAGATGTCACAGCCTCTGTATGTCCATCTGGCCTTCTGCTGGAGATTACTGCTCCTCCCAGCAGTCACTGGAAGGAAATGTGTCCGAGCCTCGGCTCCCTTCGTTCATGGCATGGCTTGTTAGTTTATGCTGTGGGTGGAGATGGGCTGCACCAATACAAAATCTACCAGCTGTACTAGGAAGAAGTTGTCTTCTGTCAGCTTTCTCCTGGAAACTGCTGATAAAAAGCATCCTTTCCTGACAAAAATGTCTAAAATAGATCAAGGGAATGAATTGTGCTCTAGAGGTGTTGGTCTGCCTTTGTGTCTTGGACATAGGAGTTTACATTAGATGTGATGAATCCTGTCCCAATGTGAGCTCCACCTGTCCTGAAAGCCAGAAAACATACCTGGGGTCTGGAGTATGCTTTCAATATTACTTGGACTGCTGAGAACAGAGGGAAAAACTTAATTCTAGTATTTCAGGCCCAGCATGCCTAGAACTGTCAGCTGCTTGGGTTTTTTTAAATAAAAGTATTTCCAATGGCATCAGTTCTCCTGATCACAGCTTTTCATGGTGCTGTAAGCTTTAAGCTCCTGGTTGCATTCTTCTTTGCGTCAAGACTTCTTTTTTTCCCCCCTCTTTTTTTGTAATAATCGGAGTGCAAAGATGCCGAAGAGCTGCATTAACTAACCTTTACTGTACTGTTACCTATCTGTGGAGTTACCTCATGCAATAGTGAGCTCAAAATAACTTTTCTTTTATACAGCTTCTCTCAAAACTGGTTTTGATTATGGACAGAATTATCTTGGCTCCTTAACTGTAGTAATGACACAACGATAATAGTCAGTGGCAACCAGCCCATACTTAAGATTGAAGCCTGACTTCAAAGTTTGATACCTGCCTAAGGGGACATAAAGTTCCGTTTTCTGAGTTTCTTAGCTTTACAACCACCTCATGTTCTGAACTGGAAGAGAGCTGGGGTGGCTGGGGTTTACCTGTTGCTGGTATGACCGCTGGAATTAAGAAACAACGTGGAAAACATACAATTTTGCCGACTTGGGAATAAGATTTCGATTTTGCTGAATTAGGGGTAAGGTTTCATTTTAGGATTGAAATCTGTTATAGACAGTAGAAGTGTGGTCATCTTGAGAAAAGGTCTAATTCAGCTCTTTGTCTTGAAACTTGTCTTGAAACTTGCTAATGTATTTAGTTGGGGTTTTTTTACCTTTTATCTAGGAATCTATTAGATGGCTGGAAGATGAAAAAGCTCTTCTTGAGATGACAGAAGAAGTAGACTATGATGTGGATTCTTACGCTACCCAACTTGAAGCAATTCTAGAGCAAAAAATTGATATTCTGACCGAACTTAGAGGTAGATTGCTTTTAATCACTTCTGTCTGCATTATTAGCAGCGTGTTTCCATATGCCATGGAGACTTGCAGTAATAATGAGAAGAAAAAAAAGAGTGTGGTTATGTTTTAGGGTCTTTTTCCCCTTACGCTGCCCTGCAATGTCCTGTGGAAGGAACATTATTCTGCTGCCTAAGAACAAGTTCACATCTGTGCTAAATTCATCCTAGTTTAAAGGAAAAATCTGCTTAACCTCCAGGAAGTATAAAATGGGTCCTGAAACTTTTCTTTTCTTTTCCTTTGTTCCAAAACAATAAAAAAAGGAAAAAGAAAACCCAAACAAACTGTATGAAGAAAAGGTAATGCAATGAGGAAGAAGTAGTAGGAACTCCCAGTTCCTGCTCTGTTGCATTCTGTAGCGTAGCAGGGAGCCTGCTGTTGTGTTTAAGACTGGGCTTAAGAGGGGCATTGAGCTATGAGTAGCTTGGTTGTTAGCTTACTTTTTTCAGCAGCCTTTCTGTCTGAATTGACTCTTCCACTTGTCTTCTAAAATCATCCTGTTATCTTGGTGCCTCATGGGGATGAATTTTTCATTTTAGTTTCTGTAACTATTTGGACTCCAGGAGACAGGCTATACTGCTAAAAATTCAAAGTTGGGGTTGGGGACAGAGGGGTGGTGGTTTTTGTTTTTTTTTTAATCAGTGTTAGAAAACTCTTTTTAAGTTAAAATCTTACTTTTTACTCAGTCTGAGTATCTGCTGTAAGTAAAGAGAATACATCAAGCAAATCAGATGTGGCCTGCTTGCCTTCTAAGCATGCATTGGCACCAGTATACTTTAGCAAAGAATTGGAGGTACATTCCTTTGCTTTTTATGGACAATGACTCCCTCTTTAGAAGAAGACTATTTGAGACACCAGCAGTGAAAAAACACAGTTTAGGTGACTCTCTGTTCTTCAAAAACTTACTAGATCATGCTTTTGAAACAAAGTACTGAAGGTAAAAGCAATCTAAGAGATCCTTGTATCTTTACAGGCAGCATGATACATGTATAGATTTACAGGAGGGAAGAACTGTTAAGTCAAAAATTCTTTCTCCCAGTATCTTCTGTGTTCTGCTCACAGCACATAATGGTCACTGAATATTTGAGCTTTTATTCCTGTCACTTTGGGACTGACATCTTTATGCTGTCACTTTGGTTTCTTTTTTCCCATTCTTGGGCACATTACTAGGGAAGGGAGTCGGACAGGAATGGAAATATGAAAAGGTGCCACGCTTCCTTTCTCAGGTTTCTCCCATTCTTGTTATAGTTATGATGAAACAAATGAATGATGCATTTATCTGTTTACGGTGAATAACTTTCAAAATTTAATTAAAAATGCTTTTCAGAATCAAAGAAAAACAGAATTTACTCTGCCGGGTTTTAGAATTTGCAGAAGCGACTGATTGTACACTAAATACAATTTTGTATGCCTCTAAGGATGGTTTGGAAGGTGCTGGGAAGGAGAAGGATGTACGTGGTGTGTATCTCCCCATACTTTAAGTTAGATGCAGAATTTAAGTGTGAACGGGTTACACGCTGGGAATGCAATTGTGCAATTTCCAAATCTATCCTGCTTAGAGACCGGGATAGCATCTAAGAAGGGACTAAGTTGCTAAGCAACTTCCTTCTCTGGTGAGTATTGAATTTAAGCTTATCTCAATCCTCTTGCAGTTTGTAGTGTCAGCTGTTTTTGTGGAGGAATGTTCTTTGTTGTGCAGTAGGGCCGGGATGTGGAGCATCAGGGCTTACTTTCAAGATCTGTGTTGAGCACAGGCACATCAGTACTCATTCTCTCTTTTTCATTAAAGATAAAGTGAAATCTTTCCGGGCAGCTCTACAAGAAGAGGAACAGGCCAGTAAACAGATCAACCCGAAAAGACCACGTGCCCTTTGAAATGGGCCTTTGCTGCTAAAGGAATCCACGAACCTGTACTGCTGTAGCACACATTTGTTACAAAACCCAGTGGCCGTAAGAACTCAACTACTTGAAAGTGTAAAAACGTTAGAAATGTCTGTGGAAATGTCCTCTTTCTTATTCACCTGAATGACATTTTCAGTTTTGTGTGAAATGCTCCTATGATGTCTACAAAATGCTTCTAGACCAGACAGCACAACCATGCAGGGTTCAGATCTGTGAAGCACTTTGTTTAAAATATTTCATTTATTCGAATTGTGAATTTTATGTTTGGAAATATTTGCCATGTTTTTAATAATGAAGTAAAACTGTGGCCATTAAGAAGTCACAGTATTTCCTTTTGACTATGTTCAGTTTTGTTACAAAGACCAGCTGTGCAGTTTTAAATTGTGTTTGCGTGCATGCACACCTCACTAGTGGTTGTACATAACTTCTCTTCTACAGACAGCTGTGCTTACCTCTTCCCATTCTGTGCCTTGATGAAGGCTACTTAACCCTAAACATCCTCTTTGTGAAGCACAGCTTTAATAAACAACATTCCTTATTTGTCAATATAAATTACTTTTAGCGTGTGTACATTTTTAATGTGTTTTGAGACTTTTATTTTTTTTTGGTGGCTAGTTTTATTTCACAGGATGTGCCATATCATTTGAATAGGAACCGCAAGAGCTGTTAGAGCGGATGAAGAGCTGGACATTCCATCCTCCTTGTAAAAATCTGGAATCTAGATTTATTTGAATACCATAAAGAGTGTTTATATAAATCTAACATTTTCTCTGTAATTAAAAAAAAACCACAACAAAACAAACAAAAAACCCCCGACAAAACTATAAATTAGTTGATGTATAATAAAGGGTAATGTTTAAGTAATGAGGAGAGTTGTATCTTAGGATAATGCAGATATACAGTATGTGGTATGGTGTGATAATGCTGTCAGAGTAAAGGTACGATCTCACCTCTGCCTATGGATAGGAAAACTGTCACAAAGTTCAGGGATTGAGCTAAATACAGACATATTTGCCTTTCACGTACTGTTAAAATTTGGCTTTTGATGCATGACAAACTTACATGTACATTAACCGTAGTTTGCAGGTAGTTTGAGTAGCTCTGTTGCTTTAAAAAAAAAAGTAGCTAATACCTATTTTTCCCTTTGTACGGTGCCAGCAGCTGAAAAGTGGAGTGAAATTGCATTATTTGGGGATCTTGCACAATACCTCTATCCAGCACTAATAGAAAGCCCTGAATTCTCATGGGGCCATGTGTATCAGCACTTTTTAGGTGGTGGCACTCAAGTTATTTTTGCAAGTCAGTATCCAAAAAAGATTGACCTTTCATGTAAGAACTTGTCAAATGAAGAATTGTAGACCTCTCTAGGAGTTCTCCCTGTTTCCAGGAGTTCATATCAGCAGCCTTTCCCTTGGAACTGTTTAAAAATTACTTTTGTAATACAAGCCTGTTTGTTTGTGCCAGGCCTGGAGAGAAATAAAGGGAAGGCAATGAAAAGAGAAAGAAAATGAGCCAGGAATTCTTGTAGTGTTTAATGTTTGTATCTCTCATAGGAAGGTAGGCTATGGGAAGCTCTTGTTGCATCATGGTTAAAAATAAAAAAAATCCTCCTGTGTGTAAACATGAAAACTGAAACAACAATGTAGATTTTACATAATGTGTTTAATAAATTAAGCTATTAAATGAATTACAGATGAGAATTTACTTCTATGAAGTTTCTCTTGTGCTTTGGGAAGGGTTTTACTTTGTCAGCACATCGGAGTTACACTTTTGAAAAGGCCTCAAATTTCAGAATAAGTATTTTCTTCTGGACAAATTTGTCATATAGGAAGAAGTTCCCCAGAACACTGTCGTGACTTTAGTTTTGCAGCAGCTCTTAAAAGAAACATCACACATCTTTCCGAGCATTAGTTTAAGAACGTCATCCATCACAGTTAAAATTAAAAAACAGCAAAATAGATGGCAGCAGCTTTTGTTAGCAGGTTATCCTGATCATCTTGCCCTTATCATCTTGCAGTAGCAAAGCACTTCTCAACCTGTCAATGGAGCAACCAGCTTGCTCTTGAGCATCAGCTCTAGGTTGCTTTTGTTAGCAGTGCAGGTTATCGTGTAACACCTGAGGGTTCCTTTGAAGCTGCTGTAGAGAAATCTCACTTTCTAAAAAGCCTTTGAAGACTGAGACATCCTACATGAGAAACAGGGGCTTCCCTATTCTTCCTCCACGCAAGCCTACAGCCACAGCCAGGCTGTGGTTTACAGCGGCTACCGAAGGTGACAGGAAGGACAGAGGCGCTTCAATTTCAGTAGCTTTTTACTAAACCGTGTAAATGACGTGTCCTGCCAGGTAGCAGATGCAAGCTGAAGTGGTGTCTACTCCGGGGGAACTCTTAAGACCGTGTTTGTGACGCAGCCTGTTGTAAAGGTCGGATCTACACCAATACTGAAGCAGTGAGAATCAAGATAAGCTGATACACCTGGTTACAGAACCGGAATTGCTGTAGCCCATTGCTGTGATGGACTGGGATTACTTAAATAGGACTCAGAGAAGCTCACCTTGATTCCTGTCCTGTAAAATGAAAGCATTTAGGAAATGTGACACAAATCTCCAGAACTTGTTCCTTCAGTATGTATTTAAGCATATTGCTGTGGCTACTTAACCTCACTCATATATTGGTTCTATATGCACTGAAGCAGCACTAGAATTACTGAATTCTAAAATGAATGAGCAATTCAGTTTTCCAAGACAACGTCTTGGGTTTTCTACAAATTCAAGTGCCTATTTCTGTACAAGCTTCTGAAGCAATGACAAAGAATTAACATTGGGTGTGTGTAAAATGAAGTTATATCATGGAGGAGTTTTTGCTAATTTGCCTCTTCTCCGCTTACTGTGGTCTTATGGAAAGAGATACATTATATATGAAAAAATGACTTATGGTGGTTAATACACAGTCATGCCTTCACCCCTGCATGCTGCTACAGAGTTAACAGTTGCTGTTTTCCTGAACCATTACACAGACCAAAGTAGACTTTTCTTTTGACAGCTGCTATGCAGAGTTAATGCAAACTTCCTTGGAAAAACTCTGCCTTTTCTGTAATAAAAAATATCTATAATCCAAACTATATTAAGACACTTCAGTAAGTCTGTCAGGACACAGGCATGCATTGCTCTAAGACTCATTGAAAGCTTTGATCTATGTCAAAACTCCTCGTTACCTTGAAGGGTGAAGTAGTTTTCTTATAAAAATAGCTGCTTGAGTTTACAGTTGACAATAAAACCTTTCTGTCTATGCTTATGAGCACTGGCCCTCTGGTAGTTTTCTGCTGGTTCCTACAGTGGTTTGATGGTGATATGGAGGGGTAAAGGAAATGACACTGGTGGCTGAGAAACAGCTCTTGGGACTTCTCCGAGAGACGCAGATTACTAACAGATGTGGAATGTGGGTAGCTATCAGAGGACAAACGGAAGAGACAGGCATTTCAAATCAAGAAGAAAGTGTTTAAATACACTTCAAAACAAACAAACAAATAAAAATCCCAAACAAATGGAATGACTACAACTCTGTTTTTGTTGCCCAGACCAGACTTACGGGTTGTACTGCTGAGTATTGTGCAAGAATATACTCAGATGAAGTCCACGGCCAGAGGACATGGATTTCAATTATGGCAGCATTGATCCATGTTTTTGGGTACATTTAAAAATACACTGTCATGTGGGAGTCCAGTACCTCACTTCAGTCATGAAAGAATTTATCACTTTTAAAATACAGGGCAGCAGCTTCTTGCCTACTGTCTGTGATCAAGTTGCATGTAAGGTTTTAATAACAACCAGAGTGTGTATGCTGTATCCTGTTACTGCTGCATAAGAAAAGCTTGTCCCATTGCAGTCATTCTGGCTTAGGTAAGACTTTAGTGAAAAAATACTGAATATCTTCATTCTTCTAGTAGAATCTATGAGAAATGGATGCCTTCTGAATTGAAGCCATGCAGCAGTCTGAAAGAGTAAAATATTTATGTTATAATTTCTACTAATTTATACTTCAGCTTAAGGCATTTCCAAGATGTGCTGGCTGGCAAAGAACATACGAAAATAGCATGAAAGCAGCTATCACTGTTCAACTGCCATAAAGAATTGCTGCAAATCTTAAACTAGAAGTTATTAGCAAATATGCCATTTTAGACATGCGGGTCTATTTTCAGTGCAGTTAGTGATACTGCATCCTACCAGGTTTACTATGTTTCTTTAAAGAGCAGTAGCTGTATTAATTGTCACACTGAAAAACAGCTAGGAATTTTTATCTTAAATTAGGGAAGGACTCATATTGCCACTTAAATTAACTGCCCAGAACTAAAAGCGGAATAGAGCAGTTAATTACTCGAATTTCCAAATTATGCTATAGACTATGGCCTAATCCTCAAGACAGACTGAGAAGGGCTGGGTAGGTCTCCAGGGAAATTATAATAACCAATTCCCTTATGAAAGCCTTTTTCAGAGGAGACATAGAAGAGTCTAGTACACAAATACCAGAAATAGGGATCTTCAGCTAGTTGCTTCTCAATACCGTAAGCAGCAGTTAAAATATATCTATAGGGTTTAAGTGTTTGTTCACGTTCAGGACAAAGCAAGCAGTGTCTGGTATTGAGAGAAAAACAGTTAGTACTATTCCTGTGTGGCCCAATACTAATCTGTGCTACACAGGTACAGATGCAGGTAGAATCTGAAGAAGCTTAAAAGGAAGGCATAAAGAGAAAAGAAAAATACCTAATGAAATCATCTATATCCATTGAACGGGCTCGTTTTTCAGAGTAACCTGTATTTTTTAGGACTGTCTGTATTTTCTCCGCGATTTTGAAGTTTTCGGGTATTTCCTGTCAATAGAAAATAAGATACAAATTCATTTTCTATTCATAGCATAGAAAAAGGTTCATTTAAGTTATCTATTCTTTCCCTGCTTTTAGAGTAGTTCCTGTTTCAAGTGATAGAAGAAAGTTCTATTTTTTCTAGTCTGGATTATTGTAATCTTCTATTGTTGTATCTGAAATTTTATACATCAGCTCATTCGCTATAAATGAACCACAACAGTATTGCTACGCAGACACAAAATATTTTCTTACTAGATTAGTAAAAGTCCTTGAGACATGTACAGCCAATATATATTAATAACATTCTCAGCTTTCAGCTTTTTCACTGTATTTAGTGGCCCTTTCAGATTTTTCTCTAAGAAAAAAATTAAGTTCCTCCGTCCCTCAAACTTTCTCAGAAAAACTTTAACATGTTAAGCTTTTCAATGTTAATTTTTTACTCTGGTAAAAGTCAGTATGTAGGTCACAGTGCACAGAAATAGAAATTAATATATTAAAAAGAAACTTACTGCATTATGTAAGGAACAATGAATTCGGTAATTATGATCCAGTAACTGCTCTACAGCACTTGACCTGAAAGAAATACAAGTTTAGGATGAAAACTGAGCTTTAACTACTTTCTTTTACTTGATGGTTTAATTCTTCACTATCAAAAACTGTAATGACCACACAGAGCTGTTCTTTTAAACACCTGCCTAGTTTTCTTCTAAAAGGAAAAGCTTGTGACCTCAGCGGAAATCCTCCATCATGGTTTATCCCAGGTTGTGCTGGCATGCCTATAACATGACTACGCATTTGCACAAAAGAAATGGTTAATTGGACGGGCTCTCAAACTTTGAAAAGATTTCCTTTGATAGAAGTTACTTACTTAAATGCTGCGGAGAGTGTCTTGTTTTTCCTAACAAAGGCTATCCTTACCAGACCATCCCACTCCTGAAATTAAAAATTTCAGAATTTACAGAAAGGAACTACTGCAAACAAGAACAGTCACTACTGGCAATTTCACAACAATATTGAACGCAAAGAAAAATATTTCAGGAAAATATCCTTCTAAACAATACAAAACCAGTCTTGTCTTGAACAAAGCAATACAGGTGGAGGAGAAAATACTTCACCTGCAAAAAAACTTTGAACTGTTCTTTTTTGTGCCTAGGCACTATTGGCCAGATCTTAGTGCTGAGAAGGCAGACACTTGAAGAAAATCTGGCTAACATTGGGCAAGGCTGAAATGGTCTTGAAGATCAAAGTGTTTTAAAGATTAATCTTAAGAATACTATCCTGTAACATCTGTCTTCTGAGATTATACACACTCATCTGAAGATAAGACTTCGCATATATACTCCTTTGATCATAACCAACAAAGTCATCAGCCAAAAGGGTTCCTGGGAGATATAAACCACGATGAAAGGGATGTTATTACTAGCAACTCTCCAACTGACACAGACATGGTACCTCAGTCTTGTCAGAAATACAGTAAGCAAAGCTGCACTGGCATTGATGGTGGCAGATTCAGGTAACATCCTAACACAAGCATGGTCAATAGAGGAGTAAGTATTTTGGAATTCTGTAAATGCCAATGAATAGCTGGTACGTAGTAATGAAAACAGCACATGGAACTGAGTAATAAGTGGAAAGAAAAATTAAATTAAGTATTATCACTAGTATGTAATGTTGTTATTCGAGTATATGACGCTCACCTGGAAGTTGATAGGTGGTGGTGGGTTCTTTGGCTCTATTCTGACAACACTGGATTCAACTTTGGGAGGAGGCCTGAAGTTGTTCTTTCCAACCTGTTAGTCAGGAGAAGTCAGGCAGATGTATGAATGCGCTGCAAATCCTCACATTCCTAGAAACATTCTTCTATCTTTGATAGCTCTGTTAGCTAACCCAGAATGACATACCTTCATCAGATGGTCCACTCGAGCTAATAACTGAGTATTAATAGAGAGCCTGCAGTATAGTTTAGTTCCTGGTTTTGCAACCAAACGAAGTGCAAATTCCCTTTGAAACATAAGTATGGCACACCTGAGAATAACGAAATGAAAAACTGAATTTTAAGTAATCAATTTTTACGTCAAAAGCCAACTAACACACTTGGAAAACACAGGATTTGCCTCGGTGCTTAGAAGCAATGAAAATTTGTCATAAACAAACACTGCCTTAATTCACTCAGGGTGTTAAAAAAACCCCAACAAACACAAAACTTAGTGAAACCGTCTAAATCTCCTTAAAGCTCCAACAGAATTTGATTCTTCTTACTGCTAAATGCATCAGGATCGAAGACAGAGAGGCTAGTCTGTTTTGTGCCTGACTGTAAGAAATAATTTTGAATAATTCTGTTGAGTCTTACAAATCCAAACTCTCTAGCTCCAAAAATTGACCAGTAATATCACTAACATTAGTGCATCACTGAGGGACATCAAGAATTGCTGACACATTGAACAACACACCAAAGTACCTGCGCAGTTATATTTTTAGACCAGAGAAAGTGTATTGGCTTCGATCCTACTCTTTCTACCCTTCCTTTCTCAGGTAGGAAGTAATCTGAAATGTTATGATGCCCTACTTATCCCTAGAATAACAGTTAGTTATAATACTAGTGTAAAGAGGTGCAACACCTGTTTTCATCAGCTGGACACTCACTAAGACTAAGACTAAATGTGCCAAGACTACATTTTCTCCTTGTGCTTAATACATTGACAAAAACTCATTTCCAGGCACTGGCAGGTTTCATGTTACAGAAAAATTCTGGTGCTGATCTGATCCATCAAATAGGTATTTTAAGAACTAAAAAAAAATTATTTGGCAATATTTTTAAAACTTTTTTTTTTCTGTCAGGTAATACAGAGCTCTGTTCTTCCACATACCTGAAAAAAGGTCTATGAAGCAACAACTTGAAAACAAAAGGTGAAGAAATCTGAGGAAAAGAGTAATAGTGTTAGCATAATTTCAGGGCAATTAGCATTTGAAAAGAAAAAAGTTTTTCCATGTTGTTTAGCCTATACCTGGTAAGGCAAGTTAGCCACACATGCATCAAAGAATGGTAAGTCTGTTTTCAAGACATCTCCAACCTTGATTTCAAGTTTGTTTGCCAGACACCTGGGGGAACATACGCTGTGGTTATCCTCAGAGAAGCACGTTGCCAAAGTTTTTGTCAAAGCAGCTCCAGTGCTTTAAGTGCTCGCCGTTTCCACAGTTGATACTTACGTGCCCTGGACTCTCTTCTGAAGTTCACCAACAAGTCTAGGGTCAATTTCACAAGCAATAACCTGAAAACAAAGTATATGTTTGTAAATTTATACAACTCCTCTTAACTGGGATTAAAATTTCAATAGTAAAAAAGCCCTGTATCTACTGCTACAGGTTTAAATAATTCTTAAACATTCCCTATTAGGCTATGCACCTTCCTTCCCCCACAAAAACACGCAAGCCTTAGCACATAAATGGTTAAATGCAATATAGTTATATATGATTTACAAGATTTACTTGAAGAGCTTATACGTGTTACAAGGTACACATTTACAAGTTATACATGATTTACAAGATTTACATGAACAGCTAAAAATTCACTGGAATTATATGGATGTTAACAAAACCAGCCATGGAGTAATTCTACTTATTTGAATCAAGCAGATGAGGATCCTTCTGTCTGCCAAAGTCTAAGCCCCAACATGGTTAGAGCTTGGGAAGGTGGGGGGGCAAAATTCGCACTTACTTTTTTTACTTTCTCCAACATCTTTACTGTCAGGTTACCAGTTCCCGGGCCAACTTCCAGAATGACATCTGTGCGTCGCAGGGCAGCCTAAAGACCAAACGGCATTTCAGTTATCTTTTCCGCGAACCTATTTCAAGCCGCCACTTAATTTTAGAAGGAAAGGTGGGTGCAGCTCAGCAAAAAGCCAAGATCAGCTAACTGAGGGGCGCGAAAAGACAGGGGCGAGAGGGAAAGGGCCAGAACGGGAATGCCTTAAAGCTAATTTATGAGAGATCTTTGGCCAAGCGTAGAAAAAAATGAGCAAGCAGCCACATGTTAAAAAATAATAGTAAAAAAA